CTTGAGGTTGTAACTCTTCATGTTTTATACATTGGCACCTCTTCTGTTTTCAGATATGTTTGTTCGGTATATATTTTTTTGCTTATTTCTTTGCATGTATTACTTTTCTAACTGTAGTTTACATAGTTTTATTGTATTTTAACATATTTCGCAGAAGTTCCGTCTTTTTGTCTCGTTTTTCAAAGATTACGTCTATCAGATATGTACTCAGCTATTTGTAAACGTTTTTTGATGTTCTTTGCTAATTGTCGCTAATTTTCTGTCTCATGTCTTGTTTTTAGCATATTTCATTATGTTTTGTTCTATTAACTGTAATTTATTACGTTTCCGACGGGTAGGTGTTTATTACTGATTTGCATGTTTCCTCTTATAATTTTGATGTTTTTTTTTTTTTTTTTGTGACTGTAGTTTACATAGTTTTGTTGTATTTGAGCATATTTCACAAATTTTTTGTTCAGTTGTCTTTCGTTTTTTCCCAAGATTACACCTGTCTGGGTATGTACTCGCTACGTTTTAATATTCTTTATTGTTAATTTACAGTTTCAGGTCTCGTTTGTATAATTTACAGCTCCATTCTCGTTTGTATAATTAAGTATGTTGTATAGTATTTTGAAGCGTATTTTCTTTGATGTATAATGCTTGTGATCATTATTTCCTTTCCGGCTGTGTGTGTTTTTTACTTTTTCCGTGTTGCCTTTCATGATTTTAATGTTTTTAAAAGTATTTTCATAGTGTGTTGCCTCTCATGCCTTTTGATGTTTTTTAATGTTTATATGTAGACTACTTTGATCATTATTTCCTATATTCGATTAGTAGCAACGACGATCCGATATAGTATCATTTTGACAATGTCTTTGTCTTTTGCTTTCTTGTGTTTACGTATAAGATATCCCTCCTCTGTCAGTTAACGTGTTACACATAGTAATCTGACTAATACCAACAGAGATTTTTGCTGTAGTGCTGTTTTGACAATGTTGTTGTGTTTTATTTTTGATTTAGCATGTTCGATACCACCTCCCTTTCCATCAATACCTTGCACGTTGTTGTGCATTGAGTTGATTAGACGTTACAAGCTTAGTGTACTTTTGGAAATGTGGTCATTCTTGTTTTTTTTGGCTAACGTATTCATTACCACCTCCTCTTTCCATTGAATACTTGCAGGTTGACATACGCTGAGTTGTTTAGACGTTTTAAGAAGTCCTTTTGGCAATGTCTTTACGTTTGATTTTTATCTTAACATATTCGTTTTCACCTCCCCTTTCCATCTATATCTTGCATTTCTCATACGTTGAGTTGTTTAGACGTTTCAAGCTTAGGGCTTTTTTGGCATTGTCTTTGCGTTTGCTTTTATCTTAACATATTTGTTCTCACCTTCCCTTTCCATCGATACCTTACACATTGTTATTGGTTGAGTTATTTAGACGTTTTTATCTTAGTATCCTTTTATCAATGTCTTTGCGTTTTATTTTTATCTAACCATATTCATTTCCACCTACCCTTTCCATCAATACCTTGCGCGTTGTCGTACGTTAAGTTGTTTAGTCGTTGCAGGCTTAGTGTTCTTTTGGTCAAGTTTTTACGTTTGATTTTTTATCTTAACATATTCTTTTCCACCTCCTCTTTCCATCGATAACATGTACGTTGTCTTACGTTGAGTTGTTTAGATTTTTCAAGCTTACTGTCCTTTTGGCGTTGTCTTTACGTTTGCTTTTATCTTAACATATTAATTAACACCTTCAATTTCCATCGATACTTTGCACGTTGTTGTACGTTAAGTTATTTAGACGTTTCAAGCTTAATGTCCTTTTGGGAATGTTTTTACGTTTGTACGTTTGATTTTTATCAGAACATTATCGTTCTCACCTTCCCTTTCCAGCGATACCTTGCACGGTGTCCTACGTTGAGTTGTTAGACGTTTCGGGCTTAATGTTCGTTTGGGAATGTCTTTACGGTTGGTTTTTATATTAACATATTCGTTCTCATCTTCCCTTTCCATTGATATCTTGCAAGTTATCGTACGTTGAGTTGATTAGACGTTTCGAGCTTAGTGTCCTTTTGAAAATGTCTTTACGATTGATTTTATCTTAACATATTCGTTCTCACATCTCCTTTTCAGCGATACCTTAAACGTTGTCCTACGTTGGGTTGTTTAGACGTTTCAAGCTTATTGTCCTTTTTTTCAATGTCTTTGCGTTTTATTTTTATATTAACACATTTATTACCAACTACTTTTTTCATCGATACCTTGCATGTTGTCGGACGTTGAGCTGTTTAGACATTTTAAGCTTAGTGTTTTTTTTTTGGCAATGTCTTTGCGTTTTATTTTTTTTTTAACATATTCATTCTCACCTACCCTTTACGTCGATACCTTGTACGTTGTCATACTTTGAATTGATTAGGCGTTTCAAGTGTAGTGTCCTTTTGGCACGTTCTCGTACGTTGAGCCGTTTGGACGTTACAAGCTTAGTGTCCTTTTGGCATTGGCTTCTGCGTTTGTTTTTTTTTGTGTTAGCGTATTCGTTGCCAACTCCTCTTTCCGTCGATACCTCACACGTTGTTGTACGTTAAGCCGTTGGGACGTTACAAGCTTAGTGTCCTTTGGCACTGTCTTTTGAGTTTGTTTTTGTGTTGGCGTATTCGGTTCCCCTCCCTCTTTCACCGATACCTTGCACGTTGTTGTGCGTTGAGCCGTTTGGACGTTACAAGCTTAGTGTCCTTTTGGCATTGTCATCTGCGTTTGTTTTTTTTTGTGTTAGCGTATTCGTTGCCACCTCCCCTTTCTGTCGATACCTCACTCGTTGTTGTACGTTAAGCCGTTGAGACGTTACAAGCTTAGTGTCCTTTTGGCTTTGTCTTTTGCGTTTCTTTTATGTGTTAGCGTATTTAGTACCCCCTCCCCTTTTAATCGATGCCTTACACGTTGGTGTACGTTAAGCCGTTTAGACGTTACAAGCTTAGTGTCCTTTTGGTATTGTCTTTTACGTTTTGTTTTCATCTAAACATATTCAGTACCCCCTCGTCTTTCCATCAATACCTTACACGTTGTTGTACGTTAAGCTGTTTAGACGTTGCATGCTTAGTGTCCTTTTGACATTGTCTTTTGCGTTTGTTTATGTATTAACATATTCGTTACCTTCTCCCCCTCTCCAACGAGCCCTCATACGTTACGATCTGACCAATAACAATGGAAATATGACGTATTGCCGTTTTGGCACAGTCTTCTTGACATTTGATTTTTATCTTAACTTATTCATTATCACCTCTCCTTTCCATCAATACCTCACACGTTGTTGTACGTTGAGCCGTTTGGACGTTACAATCTTAGTGTCCTTTTGGTATTGTCTTTTGCGTTTTGTTTTTATCTAAACATATTCGTTACCACCTCCCCGTTCCACAGAGCCCTCGTACGTTGTTGTACGTTGAGCCGTTTGGATGTTACAAGCTTAGTGTCCTTTTGGTATTGTCTTTTGCGTTTTGTTTTTATCTAAACATATTCGTTATCCTCTCCCCTTTCCATCGATACCTCACACGTCATGATCCGACGAGCCGTTTTACCCCCACCACAAAATGAGACAAAAATGACCAGAATGAACCTTAGCGATTTCCCATGTTAATTTCCATAAGAGTTGGCCCAGAACCGGTGCTGCCCTTTTACTTAATTAAATGTTCAAACAGACCACCAAGTTGTAACAAACAGTACCCAAATCTGTTATACAAAGCATTCCTCATGGCGTTGAGTTCATCTGCCGATATGTTTTGGCTAGGTTGGATTATCTTTTCCTTTAGTTCCTCCAAGTTGGTGGCTCGCTCAAACTCCTGCTTGTACAATTTTCTTTTTAGCATCCCCCAAAAATAAAAATCTAGAAGAGCTATCTCAGGTGACCGAGGGGGCCATTTTATTGTACCGTCTGTACTAATGACACGTTCAGCAAAAATTAACGATAAATAGTCTCTAACGATTTTTGCATTATGTGCAGGACAGCCGTCTTGTTGAAACCAAATTTCGTTGAAGTTCACAAAATTGCATCCGTTTAAATTTATCAGCAGGAAATATTTCTTGAGTTGTCTGCACTTTATAACAATGGTATTTGTTTCTATTCAAAATATTCCTCACTGTTTTTGCATTCAAATAAACTTCATCGGCAATTTGTTTACTTAAACACGGCGTCGCTTCAGCCAATGCACAAACTTGAATTTCTCCAATTTCTCGTTCTTAAGAAATTTTCTTTTCGCGAGGTTGATCCAATGGGCAACATTTTTTACATCTGCCATTAGTACAGCCAAACTTTTCAAATTGATGAATAATGGCTAATACAGTTTTTTCTATAGGTATTGGCCTATTTTCAAAAGCCATAATAAATAAATTGATAGTTTCTTGTACTGAATTGCCCCCAAAGTACCATTTTATTATTTGTACCCGTTCTTCTGTAGCATAAACAGTCGGCATAATTATTTCTTATGTTCACACTTAGAAAGTTACCTCCAAAAAGAAATACATAGCTGTCGACATAGCATAGCCGTGTCTCGTCTCGACCAATGGCCAAAATTATCTTATATTATTTAAAGTTGCGTTACAAATTCGTCAAATAAAAATGCGAATCTGTAAATGTTTCATGGATTTTAGAAATGTTGGACCAGTATTTGTGTCAATTAATGTTTCATTTTTAATATCATAAGTTTTGAATGGCAATATAATCGCACCACTGATCGCCAATTTTTTAAAACAATTCAATGTTTTAATTCAAATATGTAACAAGGCAACCCTGTTGCGTATAAGCTAAGCTGGATCGGAAATTCGTAAGACGTTCATTAATAGGCGTGTCCAAAAAATGTGGTGGGAAGACCAAGGGGGAATATATTTGTTTTCTTTGTCTATTCGCTGAAAATATGATTTTATATCTGTGTTAGATATCCTGTTAAATTTTACCATACCGACCATAACTTTTACCTATACTGTATATATATTACGTCATTATTACATGGCACTCAATTTTTTGCAGGTAGTAGATATTGATACAGAAGAAGTGCTGGGTCCCAATCGACAAGGAGAACTTAGATTGAAATGGGACGGTTATTTAATGAATGGTTATTTTAAAATGGATACGTCGTCTGCATATGACACAGAGGGGTATTTTAAAACTGGTGATGTTGTCTATTATGATGAAGATGAATGTTTTTACGTTGAGAATAGAATTAAAGAAATCTTTAAATACCGTGGATGGCATGTACTTCCAGCTATTATAGAAAACGTTTTACTTTCACATCCTGCCGTTAAAGAAGCTGCAGTAATAGGTGTTCCGCATGAAGTTGATGGTGAACATCCCAGAGCATTTGTTGTACTAATTCCTGGATTTAATCAAAGTTGTGCCAAAGAAATACAAACCTTTGTTAACGAAAAAGTTGCTGATAGTCAGAAATTGAGGGGAGGTGTATGGATAGTAGATTCCATTCCAAAAACTGCAACAGGAAAGATTAGAAGAATGGATCTCCAAAATTATATTATAAACAAAATAAAAGTATCTGATTAGGTAATTGATTATATTACATATCTAACTTAATAGATAAAGTCAACTTATAATAATTTAACATTTAAAATAGTACCAACTTGCAATAGTAGGTACAGCATTTTCATATTATTATATAAACACTAAACTGTCTCGTTTTTTAGATGTTACGTTAAATATATTACTGTCTTCAATTATTTAATGTATTTAATTATCCAAAAGCCCAGTAGCGGATATGTGGGGAAATAAAAAATCCTTCCAAACAAGATCATAAAAATGTATTAGCTAACATAAAATTTATATCACAGACAGACAAATTCAACTTAAGCCGGATTTATAAACGGACATAAACATAATTTTAGTCTTTAACCATAATCTTATTATATAAGCATAATGTTGAAAGTTATTAAATAAATGTACCCATTTAAAAGCATTCATAATACATAAAACATAAATTTAGTCCTTAAAACATGACCTTCAAAGTTGGTAACTTTCAACATTTATGAATTAAGTATTAAACATTGTGGAATTGTTGGAATATGCGCATGTGTAATCCAACGTAAAAAATTAAAGAACTGTTCCTCATCCCATTCCTTATCACGCTTTCTATTTATGGGTCCTTACACTATACCTTCTTACTCTTATTTGCTTGTTAAGAACTCTGGCAGATATAGTCGCTACAATTGTTAAATAAAGTGGAACTGCTGCCATGGCCAAAGCAACTTTTCAATTAATCTTCATATTTATTTAAAATTATTTCACTTTTCTACGAATCTAAAGACCAGAAAAAATTCTTCAAGATCTATAAAAATTTGGTTAGGTTTGTATTTTCTGAAGTAGTTTTTAAAAATTATGGTTAGGTATTATGTCTAGTTGTAAACCAATCTTAAATCTTGTGAATTATGATTGTGGTTAAAGTTATGTTTATGACTTATGATTATGTAGTATGTCCGTTTATAAACCTGGCTTTAGTAAACCTGTTTGTTAGAAAAATTAATGGACCTAATGCATAAGTTATTATTTATGCCTTTTATATTATTTTGGTTTATCTTTTTTATCTTTTCGACCGACATGTTGTTGTGGTTTGAATTAGTCTAAAATATTAAAAAAAATCGTAATATACATTTAATTTCATCGACCACTAAAATCAATTTAGTAAAAAAATAGAAAAATTATTTCTGGAAAAACCAAATAAATAAGAATAAGCAATCGTTTTTCTAAGCTATGATAAAGCAGATAGATATCTAGATTATAGCAATAGTCGGTTTTTAATAAACAAGTATGTTAAAGGCACATGTATAAGAATTCTTTAAATACAGAAAAAGAAATCTTTTGTACACAGAATTTTCAAAGTAAAGAGAAAGTTTTTAGTAAAAAATGAGGGTAGATAATAATATTGATGTTTAGTTATATTGTTATATCGAGACTTGTAAACAAAAAGAAATGAATTATTTATGAAATTGGAAATACCAAATGATATAAGGTAATGACCACAGCGAATTTTTTTACTGAGAAACTATAAAATGTGATTGGTTATAATTTAAGGTGTGGAGAGTACGATGCTGGAATATGATTGATAGATTAGCCAAAGGAGTATGGCCCAGGGAAATAAGCATTTTTTCATGACACTCGTCCGGCCAGGCAAACGACATGACAGTTGTTTTGAGTAGTACGGACCTCTGTAACAAAAACCTATATGTTTACTGCAGTCGATTTTTTGGACTTAATTGGTTATTAAAAAATTAAGGTCAAAAACCGGAAAATTTTTGCTTTTTTCGCCTATCAGCAAAAAGTGAAGCAATTTAAAAAATTTTAGAAGAGAGGAAACTTATAAGTTATATAAAAACCTTCAAAATGGCTTTTTCTAAATGTTTCTATCCTTATTTGTTACTTAGAAAGATGCAAAATAAGTCAAAAATTTCGGTTTTTTATAAATGTTAATAAGTCTTTTAAAAATAAACTTATAATATTTATATTTCACGGAATGATGTGTCTTGCAGTGCTAAAAATTGGGTTAAAATGTCAAAGTGATCGGTCCAATAGTTTAAAAGTTATTGTATTTGTTTATCCCAAATTAACATTTTTTGCAACAATATAAGTCAGAAATTTATACAGTTTTAGTAATTCAAGGGGTAGTTTCTGGTAGAAGAAGACTTGTTGTATTATTTACATTAAAAAAAAATTAAAAAAATTAATTTTAAGTATTGCAAAATAATTTTGCAAAAACAATTCGATTTTTTGCTTAAAAACAATTAGAATAACTTTTTAACCATTAACTGTAAAAATATTATTTTTATATATTTAAAAAGCCTGAATTTTTTAACAAATTTAAATACAACAAGTTTGTCCTAAAATAATTTGGTATAAAGTTAGCCTCTTTTTTTATTTAATTCATAGCACCTTTGTTTATAACACTTAAGAAATCTAATTAGCGCCATTTAAAAGAATATACGAATATGCATCATTTCAATAAATAAATTGTTAAATAAACTACCTAATTTGTTTAAAAACAATTTTTTTTATTTTTTTTAATAGTATTTAAGTTAAATTTGAGTGTAAAACAGAAGTATTTTTCATTTCCTATATTTTGGGGACTAAGCCACAATTTAAGTTTATAATAAGTTTATTTTTGATGTTTCGATTTCTACTTCGGAAATCTTTCTCAGAATGCAGAACATTAATAAATTAATCAAATTTTGTTTTTGGTTACTTGGTAGAAAATTTTTCTGATAACTCTTTTGGGTGATTGGTTAGTGTGAGGAAGCTCAGTAGATCTGTTATAGTAAAAATTACAAAAAAAAGTTATTGACAAAAATTGTAGACGGCTTTAAACTCCACATTTTAAAATTAGTTACAATCTTACAGGGTGTTCTATAAGATGGTGGCAGACCAAACTTATGTTTTTTTAGATGAAACACCCCGTATTTTATTTTAAATTTAAAATCTGCTTCACTTCCACATCATAATAATGTAAAGTTTAATTATGTTATACCGGGTATTTAAAAAGTTATAACCAATATTACCTGAAAATCGTATCAAGTTAAACTCCCTCTATAGTGAAAAAGGAGTATAGGACCATTGATCTATTGCAACCATAGTTTTTTAATTGTTAAAAATTATAAAACATATTCGTTTTCATAATATTCGTTAAAAGAAAATGCAGGGTAAGTCAAAATGCAAGTACATTATTTTCTTGATAATTTTAAATAGAACACCCTGTATTTTAAGTCTCTACCGAAAAGTACTAATATTGTACTTCACATTTTATGGAATACTCCCTATACATAAAGTTATCAATTTACTAGATAAGTATTAATTTGGTAGATATTTTAACTTTTACAAATAATTATTGGGAGTTAGTCGTGATTGATTTGTCAGAAACTGACAGTTTGACAATATGGTTTTTTAATTCAGTAACGGGATAACGACACAGAAAAGAAAACAATTTGTTTCAAATAAAATTTATAAAAAATAACCGACAGAAAATAAAAAAGATAACAACACATAAAAAAATAAAAAAACAACTAATTTTAACTAATCATACTTAATTAAGGTGTTCAAAATGACCTCCCAAAACATCTATGCATACTTGAAAGCGGTTATTGAAAGAGTAACCTACATTACTAAGCATTGGTAAAGAAATATGTTGAAATGCAATTCGGATTCTATTTTTTTATACTTCTTGTTGTTGAAGGTATTTTACATACTTCGTTCTTAATGTAACCCCAAAAAAATGAGTCCACCTTATTGAATTCTGGTGACCTTGGAACCACCCCTTAAGATCCATCTTTCACCAAACTGATCATTAAGTTCACCACGTACTAATTCGTTGTGGTACGCAGAAGCACCGCCATGTAGAAACCACATTTGTTCACGTATATTAAGTGGAACCTCTTCTAATAATATCGGTAACTGATGTACGATAAAATCTAAATAAACCTTACATTACATTACGATGTACCCCAATATTGAATTAATAAACAATAATGTCAAACTGCCAGTTTCTGACAAATCAATCATGGTCAACTCACAATAATTATTGGTAAACGTTAAAATATCTACCAAATTAATACTTTGATGGAAAAATAAAAATATCTAGAAAACTGATAACTTTATGTATAGGGATACATAAAGTGATATAAAATACAGGGTGTTCTATTTAAAATTACCAAGAAAATAATGTACTTGCATTTTGACTTGTATTTGATTTAACGGATATTATGAAAACTAATATGTTGTATAATTTTTAACAATTATTAATAAACTATGGTTGCAATAGATCAATGGTCCTATACTCCTTTTTAATTATACAGGGAGTTAAACTTGATACGATTTTCGGGTAATATTGGTTATAACTTTGTAAATACCCGGTATAACATAATAAAACTTTACATTGTTGTGATGTGGAAGTGAATCAGATTTCAAATTTTAAATAAAATACAGGGTGTTTTATTTAATAAACACAATTTTGATCTGCCACCATCTTATAGAACACCCTGTAAGATTGTAACTAATTTTAAAATGTGGAGTTTAAAGCTGTCTACAATTTTTGTTAATAACTTTTTTTTGTAATTTTTACTATAACAGATCTACTGAGCTTCCTCACCCTAATCAATCACCCAGAAGAGTTATCAAAAAAAATTTCCAACCAAATTTTTTACCCAGTGACCAAAAACAAAATTTGATTAATTTATTAATGTTCTGTATTCTGAGAAATATTTCCGAAGTAGAAATCGAAACGTCAAAAATAAACTTATTATAAACTTAAATTGTGGCTTATTCCCCAAAATATAAAAAAATTAAAAAATTGTTTTTAAACAAATTCGGTGGTTTATTTGATAATTTTATTTATTGAAATAATGCATATTCGTAATGTACGCAAAAAGTGCATACAAGTTCAAAAATAAACGTTGAAATGCATAAAAAAGGAACAGAGATACAGTTAACAGCGCCTTCCCCCTCCCTTCAGCTCCCGAGTGTTTCAAAGCCGACCGATTTTACATACATTTTGAAGCTTTGTGGACGATTCCATTAAAGGGCAATATTTTTAAAATTTAGTACTTTAAAACTATAAGGTATATTCTTTTAAATGGCACCAATTAGATTTCTTAATTGTTATAAACAAAGGTGCTATGAATTAAATTAAAAAAGAGGCTAACTTTGTACCAAATTATTTTAGGACAATTTTTTTTTTATT